CCTCCTAGGTTCATGTAGAATTTTGTACATACAGAAATCTAACTACATGCTGTAGCACCGATGCTAGATAGACATAATGATGCATCTTTTTTTTTTTTAGTAAAAGAATTATTTCATTTAACTTTATTATTATTTTCCAATTTCACCAGAGACAGACAGAGAAACAGAGAGACGGAAAGTGAGAAAGAAAGCCACCAGGTCCAGGACTTGAACCACGGTTGGCCATGTGGGAGTCCAGCGCCTTTAGCCACCATGCTACTTGCCGGCCCCAATGATGCATCTTTTAATGTTTTTATTTATGACCTATTAGTTTTTTTATTTTAGTTAATTATATTGGGAAACTCAGCTAATTCATACATAGAGCTGTTCAAAATAAATATCTTTGGAATTAGAAAAATACATGTAGATACAGTATGGCATCTTGCTGGACTCAGCAAATTATATTTTATTATACCTCTTTGCTCCTGGTGAATGAAGTCAATCAGTAAAACGAACTGCTAGGTTTGAAAAGAGCTATTTTTGGGACCAGCAGTTGGTGTAATGGCTATGTCACTGGACTCCCATGTAGTCGACTGGGGTTCAAGTCCTGGACCTGGTGGCTTAACTCACACCAGGCGCGTGTGCATGCGTGCCCAAGATTCCGAGAGGAGAATGGAGGAGAAGGGATCGCAGTGTGGCCATCCCCCCTGGAGGATGATTTTCCGCTTTTTGTCTTTCTGGTGAATGCACGTGCCCTATGGCTCAAACCTCTCAAAAAAGAAGAGTTATTTATTATCAGGTTGATGACATGGGTTCATCTGATCTGATCTTTTTTTTTTTTTTTAGGTTTTGCTATGGGACACTCATCAGAGAGATACACAGAGAGGGAGAGGGAAAGTTAGAGTCACACCCTCCTCTACTTCCCTGGGGTAATAGTCAAGCCACATCCCTTCTCCATGTTCCTCTTGGGATTTTGGGCATGCACACATGTGCCTGGCATGATTTTTCAAGCTTCTGAATCCAGGATGTGAACTACGGAGACAGCTATGTGGGAGGTAGTGCCTTAACCTCCATGCCACGGTCTGAACTTTTCATTGTTGACAAACTTTGACCAAGACAAGCATGATTATTATAGATGTGCTTGCTTTTAAACAGTTTCTCATTTGGATCCCCAGATTTCTTCTGAAATTTGGAGAGGATCTGAATTCGGTCTTTCATGTTGGAGCATTCCCCAGATGTCTGGTGACCTTTGGTTTGACTGTTCCCATTTTAAAAATTAAAAAACTGGGGAACCAGCAGTTAGCGTAATGGCTATGTCGCTGGACTCCCACGTAGTCGACTGTGGTTCGCGTCCTGGACCTGGTGGCTTAAAACTCACGCCGGGCGCGTGTGCGTGTGTGCCCAAGATCCCGAGAGGAGAATGGAGGAGAAGGGATTGCGGCGTGACCATCCCCCCTGGGGGGTGATTTCTCACTTTCTGCCTCTATGTCTCTCTCTGTCTGTCTGGTGAGCGCACGCGCCCTATAGCGAAAAACCTCTCAAAAAAAAAAGGGGGGTTAAAAAACTGATAGGGGGACCAGTAGATGGTGTAATGGTTACGTGGCTAGACTCCCATGTAGTTGACCACGGTTCGAGTCCTGGACCTGGCAGCTTGAAACTCACTTTGGTGCATGTGTGTGTGTGCCCAAAATCTTGAAGAGACTGTATGAGGAGGGATTGCAGCATGGCCATCCCCCTGAGGAGTGATTTCTTGCTTTTTGTCTCTCTGAGGAGTGTGCATGTCCGATAGCAAAAATCTCTTTAAAAAAAAAAAGCTGATATGAAGTATTAAATACGTGGGTTAGGCTTACTGATTATAGACTTCACCGTATGGTGATCTGCTTGGGCCATAGGTGGGCAACTACAACGTCGTAATCTTTTGGTCTTTCCACTACCACTGGACAAGTTTCTCTAAAAGAATCCTCTGTGCTCTAGACGCGGCCAGTGGCCTGGAAATTAAATGTAAGAGGAAGGCTGTGGGGAGGTCCTCTGTGCTCTGTTTATTTACACTCTTATTTTTGGTATAGTAACCCCACCCTCAACTATGCCAGCTATTCCCTCGGCTAGAGACTGTTTTTACTCATTGCAGGGAGAGAAGAAGCCTCTAGTCTTCTGTAGCGCGGGACGAAAGCTGGATTTTTAACCACTTCTCAGACAGATACTCAAGTCATCAGTCCTCATAATTTCAGCATTCCTTCTTTCCAGAAATACATGGCACTGCCAGTTTCCGAGTCTTGTGGAGATTCTTTAGGTTAAGTTGAGGTGATTTTTGTTTTTTTCCCACTAATAACAGTATCCACCTTTTTAGATCTGCTGCGTCAATTCCTGTTCATCCAAATGCTTTTTAGCTTTCAATATTTTGTGGCTATTGCTTGTCTTCATTTTTTCTTTGTTTTCATGGTTTTATGCTTCCTTTAAAAATCCCAAAGTAAGGGTCAGCAGGTGGTGTGGTGGTTAAGGCATTGGACTCCCACGTGGCTGACCTAGGAGGAGAATGGAGGAGAAGGGATTGCAGTGTGCTCATCCATCCTGGGGTGGGGGGTGCTTTCTAAAGTCTTTTTCTCTCTCCCCTTTCTCTTCCCTCTCACTCTCTGGTGATCACACTCACCCTATAACAAATTTAAAAAGAAAAAAAAAAAGAGTATCATTGACTGTTTGACAGGTTGAAGAAATCATGCATTTCCACGTTTGAAGAAAGCTTTTGCACTTGGAAGAGTATAGGCTTCTGATTTGGAAAGGCTTGGGTTTTGAATCCATTGCTAACATACTCCGTGACCTCAGGACACCTATCCAGAGATGTCAGCAGCTGTTAAGGTGGCACAGGGGACAGTGCTGGACAGGTCAGCCTATGTCCCTGCACTCATAAGCCTTTGCTTCCATACCCATAATTCTTTTCTCTTGCCTTCCAAGAGGAGAAGCTAACATAGTGTGGCCTAACAGTAGATGTGGATTTCTTAGCTAAAATCCATTGGTAAATGTAATGCCTATTAGCAAATTAAGTAGAGGCTCTCACCAGGTGACTAACTTACCTACCTAGTTGAGGCTTTTCCCCTTTAAGCACTAAATTATTGGGTCATTGTCAAAGAGAAGTTGAATTTCCCTGTGTTTTTCTATGCAAGAATGTGTCATGACTTTTCCAACGACCCAATATAGAGTTTTTAAAAAATAAACTGTTTTGAGTGACTTTCCCCCTTAATACATTATGTCTTCCTTTCTTCAGAATAGAATATTATTACATCTTTTTTTGAGATTCAAGTTTATTATTTTGAACATTAGTTAGTCTGCTTTTTTATGTTATGGTGATACCCATGGGAGCTATTGCATTTTAAATAAATTTTCTAAATCCCCTGAAGCCATACTTTAAAACAAAAACAGAAACTAAAAGTCACTTTTTATGTAACTACTATGCCTTTTAATTTTTGTGCTATTTTGAATTATTTTTCTGCCTTTTCTCCTTGGTGTCTGTGAAACACACCAGAGAATATTATTCTCCTTTCTTATTTCTTCTCACCTACTATGCATTGTGCTCCCAAATGAATGCGTTTATTAACTGTGTTTTTAAAGGAAAAGTGAGGCCTTATGGACTCTACTCATGTGAAGTGTGAAGAATTAAAGACAGTGATTTTGACATTGGAATTGCCTTTTTTGCTTGCTTCTTAGTTCTCCCTGCGTTTAGAAAGACAGGGTAATCGGATTACTGAATTCTATGCTGTTGAGTTCTTATAATGAAACTAAATGGTTCATTACATAAATTGCTTTCACTCACATTGTCTTATGTTTTTGAAACTGCATAATGATTTGGTAAGGTTCATAGGACAGGTAGGACCATTCCCATTTTACAGGGAGCAGTTGAAGGTTCCATGGGGTGCCTTGCTGGTATCATGTAGCGAGTGATTAAAGCAAACTATGTATCTTCAGTGCTTCCACTGAAAGGAATTAGTTTGTTGCAATTCCAATCTGTCTGACTCAAACACTGAAGGCCTTCGCTTGTGGCCTTCTACAGAGAGGGTTAAATTTGTGAGGTCACAGTGCAGTGCAGTGAGAGATAGTCATTTGATTTTAATAGTAGCTCAGAGGAAATTGAAGCTCAGAGGGATCAAATGACTTGTCCAAGTTCACCTGAAAAAATAAAGAGTGGCAGAGCTGCAAATTCAGTTCTTTTCTTTTGACGCCAACTCCTAGTCTCTGATTGCAGCGCATGATACATGCCTCCTCCCTAAACCAGATGAGCTGCCAAAAGGAACAATATGCCAGGACATAGATATTAGACAGCAGTAGTTTGATCTGTTAGTAAATAGCCAAGTCTTCTTCCCTAGGCAGGTTTCAGCTGATTGGGATTCTGTCTATTTTTTCTAATTTAGGGAAAGGATGAGGATAAAGAACTGTTGTGTTTGGACTTGCAACCAATTAATTCCTTCAGTGTAAGCACTAGTTGCTTTGCCAATTTGGCACTAGTAAATACTTAAGTTCTCAAGTAGAAATAGTCACTGTGTTTCTAGAATAGCCTAATGTTCTATATCCAAGGAGAGATTCATTGTGGATCAGAGAATGTTTAGGCACCAAGATCCATTTATTCTTAGGCTTAAAGGTTGATTTTATCTAGTCAATCCAGCAGGACAGTTCTGTATACACTTACCGGTTCTTGCTTTGCTGTGTGCTAGGAACAACAGTAGGCTTTGGGGAATATCTTCCTTGGGAATCTCATGGTCTAGTCGGGAAGAGACAAATAAATAATTATAGTGTAAAAAGTACTATAGTAGATATACAAAGAACAGGGAACAGAGAATTTGTAATTCTTTCCAGTCAAGGGTGGAGGGAGTGATTAGAGAAAACTACAGTGAAGGTGATCATTGATTTGTGCCTTGCAGAATGGTCAAATCTTAAGAAAGAAAGGGAATGAAGTCATTGTAGCAGAGAGAACATGCAAAATCTCAGAAATACGAAAGCGATTGTTCGACAGAAGCAGTGAGAAGCTTGGTTCAGCTAGAACTGGTGAGTCAGGTAAGCTAGGTCTCCTCTCAAGTCTGGGACTCGCAAGATCTCTTCCTGTTGCTCTGTGCTCATGTGCAGGCGCTGTCTGAAATGGGCTGCATCCTCTCTGTTCGCTTTTCTTCAGGACCTAGTGAGCATAATTCTCTTCTAAAAATTCTTTCTGGAAGCTCTGGTTCATCACCTGAAACCAGTTGTACTTTGAGAGCTAGTGCAGTTCACTCTTTGCTAATACTGACAAGTGTTCCTAATTTGTTTCTGTATTGCTTCTAGAATGAGTCACTAGTAGTGAAATTTCTGGTTATGCCCAGATTAGAGACTTATTCGGTTTTGTGCATTTCTTTCTTTCTTTAAAAAACAGAAAAATTGCTGGAGAGCACATGCACGTGTGTGTGTAAGAAAGAGAGAGAGAGCCCCTCTGGCACACACACACAGGGAATGTTCATACCACAATCCCTTCTCCTCCATCACCCTCCTTTCGAGATGTTGGGCTTGTACACACGTGCCTGGCATGTTCCTTAAGCCGCCAGTTTAGGATTTGAGTGACACAGTCGGGTATGTGGGATCAGCCACCTTAACCACCATGCCACTGGCTGGCCCTTGGTTATGTGCATTTCTTAAGCCTTGATTACAGGTTTGAGTAACCTCCTGTTCAGTTCAAGAATGTTTCAGGGTGGTGAGGAAAGTGTGGTGCAGTGAGACCCTGTAGGAAGGCTTCTCCGACTTTCTCAGAATCGGCCATTCCTTTCCTCCTTGTCTTGGCGCTTCTCACCCTCTGTTCTCACCCTCTTGCGCTTGTTTCAGTGTCTGTCCTCCCTACTGCGCAGTGGGCTCCCCTGAGGGGAAGGGTTTGGCATTGTTCCCTCATTTTCTCACAGCCAATGTAGAACCTGGGCAGCTTTGCTGTTTGTCAAGAGTCAGGAACAGGACTGCTAGTCCTGGGTCTACCACATGACTTCGGGCAGGTCACTTTCGATCTCTGAACCTTCGGTTTACCTGTAAAACATGGCAGCTGTGCTCCACGACCAGTATCACGGCATTTATCTCACTTGTATTAATCAGGATCCAATTGAGGAGGCAGAAATGATTTGATTTGATATAAATAATTGTTAACTAGGTAAAAGGTGATTAGCTGCTTAGATAAGAGAACTCTAAGGTATAATGGAGGTTCTAACTGCAGAAAATGACCAGCATCCCTAGGACTGAGGGACAGTGGACAAGGCCTGAGCTCGGAAAGTTAGGAAGAGAGAGTCCCAAACACGGAGAGCCAGACCTTGAGGAGAGCGCGTGGCTGGGGTAGTGAGGTGGTAGGGTAAGGAAGAAACAGGCTGGAGGGTGACGTAAGCCGGAGAGCCATTGCACGGAAATCTTCCAAGACCCCCTGCACACTGCTTGCTGCCTTGTGGAACACTGGACACCCAGGAAAGGTTCCTTCTTTCTCCCTTAGCCTTATAATCACCTACTGCTGGCAGAGCCCCTAGCAGGCACTCAGCTGCGAAAGGAGAAATGTCGTCTGTAGAGTCCAGTCCCACGTCACGAGCTAAGCAATGAGGAATTGGTTTGGAACTGTAAGGCAATAGATTAATAACTCCTATTTTGCAATTGTCTTTTTGTTACTGTCTCCCTTGTTGTACCTTGAACTCAGTAGTGGCTAAAAAGAGTCTGCATTGTCTATCTTCAGTGCCTCAGAAGAGGCCTGTTGCTAACGAATTGCTCAGGAAATACTGTTTGAACGAACAAATGTCCCTAAGATAGGGAAATTTAGGTGTTTCTCTAATTCGACTTAACTCTGATTTTCCTTTGAAGGAATTGGGACTAGACTAGGCATCTTCCTTGGCAGCTTCTTTATTCTGTAAGTTAAAGCCTTACTGAATGTCGTTTGTCTTGCCTGTCACGTGCACACTTGTGTTAGATGCTAGAATGAGGACAGGGAGAACATTCTACTGTTAATGGTCATAAAGTCTGTAAAACTAAGCATAGCCCTTCCCTAAGGGGGGAGTTTGAAAGCTTGGGTAGGCAGGTTGCACGTAAGCGTCTTACTCTGAACGATGCCGAGAGTACATCCTGTCACGTGGCTGTTATATGTCATGTACAGTGAGCTCATTTTACCCCCCAGCTCACTGTCATCTTGCCCATTTTTTCTTTTTTTGGAGAGTTTTTTTTTTTTTTTTTTTGCTATAGGGTGCGTGCGCTCGCCAGACAGACAGAGACAGACAGAGAGACAGAAAGCGAGAAATCACCCCCCAGGGGGGATGGCCACGCCACAATCCCTTCTCCTCCATTCTCCTCTCAGGATCTTGGGCATGCATGCACATGCACCCGGCGTGAGTTTTAAGCCACCAGGTCCAGGACGCGAACCACTGTCGACTACGTGTCGACACAGCCATTATGCTAACTGCTGGTCCCTTTCCCCAATTTATAGTTGGGGAAACTGAGGTTCAGAAAGGATTTCACCGAAGTTATACAGCTAGAAAGAGGCAAAGCGCTGACATAAGCCCAGGTTTGGGTGTTCGACATTTGAACAGGTGAGACCTCTTCTTTTTCTCCCGGCTTTTGAAGGCGTGTAGTTTTTGTTCGCTGGTGGTAGCAGAAATCCATGGAACTGATATCTCTTTCTGGCCGTTTGGGACTGGGCAAACCACAATGGAGCAAAATAGCAGCACTTGCAAGGCTGCAATGACAGTGTTTGGTAATAATTGGCCGTTTAAATAAGCCAGTCTGAGCCTGAGCTTTAGACACCTAATTTGTGAAGCAGTTGCTATCCGGCAGCAGGGTGTTATTCCCCACCTCCTCCCCCCATTTTTAAATCCCACGCTGGCAGCTCACAAAAGAATCCTGATGCATTCCCTGCAATACTAAGCTTCCGTTCTTTTGCTCCTACATACCTCTTTCCTTTTCCAGGGGCTAAAGCTAGATGGAGCACTTAATTATTATTAGGAAGCAAAATTTATGAAGCTAGTGTGTGTCACTTTTGGGTCAGCACACACAAAGCTTCTAAGTAAATAATTTAGGGTTGGGAGTTATCTCTTTTTTTGGTCATCATCCAGGATGAGTTGGAGACCCTGGTCTTATTACTTGAAAGGTCAGAGTATTGGGGGGGCGGCTAGCAGGTGGCATGGTGGTTAAGGCAATGAACTCCCACACGGCTGACCACATTTTCAGTCCTGGGCATGGTGGCTTGCTTTCTGACTTTTCCTTTCTCTCTCTCTCTCTCATAAAGTTAATAATAATAATAATAATGACAACAAATAAAATAAAATAAATAATTATTTGAAAGGTCAGAGTATTGCCTGTGGCCTGGGAGAGAAATCGTTCTAACATTTTCATTAAAAGCACTGAACGAGACAAGTAATGGCAAAATTTGCTAAGCAAGTTATTCAGCTGGTTGTTTTTTGATTATCCACTGGATGACCACAGAAATCGGCTGTTGTGGATGTGTGATTTCATCATGACAGTAAGAAATCCTTGGACCAATGTCATCTTTCCTTAGTTTCTTTTGGTACTATCATTAGTGAGGAAATCTTAGGATAGTCACTTTCCCCTTGATTTTCCTGGCTGTAAACGCTACTGCTTGTCTGCTTTTCAGAAGTAATGACATTTATTCTTTGGAAGGAACTGAAGGAAAGAGTCTGTTCATGTCATTTATTTTTAACTGCGTACTCATTAGTCAAAACCTTATTTCATTTTGTGGTTTAGCAAGGAGCAGAAAAGGCGGGGTAGTGGAATTAGTATGGACTTTAATAGCAGAATGACCTGGACAAAACCCCATTCTGCTGCTTCATAACTTAATAGCTAAACATCTCTTCTCAGTCTCTCTTTTCTCATCATTAAAATGAGAATAATGATAAATATTAATGAGGATAGTGATTCATTATTTTAGGTTAGTCTGTTAATTTCTCTGAACCTCCATTTAGCTGTAAAACGGAGGCAGTAACTCAAGTACTGGTTTGGTTTGAGAAAGAAATTGGCCAGTGTAAATGTAGCGTGTCACGGCATATCCGGCGTAAGTGTTCATGTGTGCTAAGTGCTTCGGAAACAGTTATGACAGAAGATCCCTGAGGGGAGGTATTCCTGTGGGGTGAGTCAGGGCTTAAGACTTGATCGATCAATTATTAATACTCATTGATTAATTATTCCAGTGGGAAGCTCCTTATTTTCTTCGTGGACATTCGTACGTGGTTTGCTGGTACCCCTGCACCCAGGCTACCGTGGCTCTGTCTCCCTGGTGCCTTTCCTTCCTAGGGCTGCAGTCCTGCTTTTGCTGTCCAAATTGTGGAGTGTGAAGGCAGAGTTGTGCTTCAGAACCTATAGAATTTTGTATTTCTGGGCCAGTCTGCTGTACACAAGACTAAGGAATGGGTCAGCTCCATGGCACAGTGATAACATGCTGCTCAAGAGAGGCCAGATCCCTTGGGACCAGCAAATGGCATAATGGTTACATCACTGGACACTCACATAGTTGACTGTGGTTCGAGTCCCAGACTTGGCGGCTTTAAACTCATGCTGGGCTCATGTGTGTGCGTGCCCAAAATCCTGAGGGAAGAATGCAGGAGAAGGGATTGCGGAGTGATCATCTTCCCTAGGGTAGAGGTGGTGGTGGTGACTTCACTTTCCATCTCTGTCTCTCTCTCTCTCTGGCTAGTGCACACAGCCTATAGCAAAACTCTCTCTCTCTCAAAAAAAGAGAGACCGGATCCCTTATGACAGCCTTGGTTGGAATCCCTGGCCTGATTAGCCTGAGGCATGCAAGGACGTGTGTGAATGCTCCAAATCCTACAGGTTGGAGGACTGGAGGTGGGGATCGTGGTGTGGCCAGACCTTCTGCAGCGTGCCTCCGCTCCCTCTCTCATGCACACACCTTCTCATGCACACACCTTCATGAGTAAAGGGAAACAACAGAGATCAGGAAGTGTTTGTCGCAGGCCTTTGAGGAAGTATGATTGTGCTGTTTCTTTGCTCTTTCTTTGGTACAAGCCCTTAAGGAGGACTGGCCTGTAAAAATGGTTATGAAT